GGGCGGCTGCTGTCTCCCTTCCAGGCCCGGCGGCGGCCGGCTTGGGGGCTGCACCGCCCGGAACCCTGTGCCCTCCTTCGCCCCAGGCCCTGTGCTGTCTGAAGCAACTTTCCTAACAAGAGCTTCCTGGGCGCGCTGGCGCTCCGGGTCCTTAGAGCCGGACGGAATCGGCAGAGTCCAAACTCGCTGCCCGGTGCAGCAAAACCCCTGGAGCCCTTACTGTGTCTACCAGCGCTTTGACCCCGAAAGGACAGGCTCAGCTCCTGCACACCGAGCTGGCGCGCCCCTGAGAGGCCCAGGACAGCTCCCAACTGTGGACAGCAGCTAAGCGCTCTGTAGAAAGCGCTTCACACCCCACTCCTTGGATCTGATCACTTCTACTGGGAACTCAGGTTCTGAAGTTTTCATGCACTTCGTGGGTTGTAGCCTTTGGGTTGTCACCCAGACTCTGTTTACACAGGGCTGAAAAACATCCCCACGATGGCCCAGTGTCCCGAGCTGGGTCTCTCAGGGAGAGGAGGGAGGAGGTCAGGAAAAGCCCCACTGGAGGGCAAGTTCTGCAGCAGGGGGAGGAGTACCCTCCCCTCAAGAGGACATCGGCCTACCTGGAGTTCGAGGTGGAGCCAAGGATCAAACAGGAGATTCTTGGAATCAACAAATGGCAATTGGAAAAAAACTGACCTCACCCTTTGTGAATTCCAGGAGAAGGGGGTCACACTCAGCTTACTCTGCAGCCGGAGGATTCCTTAGGTGGACTGGGGAAAATGCAGGCCAGTGAGTAAGCTCAGCTGTGGGGCCCCCCACCAGCCCCTCGTATTTGGACTTCGGTTTGAGCTCAGGTGTACAGCCTGAGATATGAACACTCAGACTTAGGCCAAGACTCAAGGAAATCCAAGCTGTAGTTCTAAAGCCTATAAAAAGAGTTTCATTGCTTTTTCTGTTATAGTCATATTTTTCTAGGATGTTATTGAAGACATTTTTTTTTCTCTCAAAACAACATGTTGTCACTACGTGGAAGTTAAAACTTGGAGAAAACTGGTCAAGGAGTAAGTCCAGCAGGGTTAACCCTGGAAAAGTCCACATTACTCCAAGCCTGTTTCCTTCTTCCTAAAACTAAAATAAAACTGGATTTGCAGAAGGAAGAAGCAAACAGAAACTTTAAAAAAATTATAAACAAATGATCACAATCAAATACTTGTGAGTACAAAATCAAACGAGGCATGCAAAGTACCCAGTGCCCAGAAGAAATATTTCTTAAATTTTAGTTGTGCTGGTTCTGGAGGAGTAACAGAGGCGGGTCTTGGGGTTCAGGCACCCTCTGAACTCTCACTCCAGTTCTTTCCAGCACTGTGCCCTCCACGGACCTCACCTGCTTTGTCTCCATCTGGTTTCTTTTGCTTTGGGAATGGAATACTTTGATAGCCACTGCATAAGATTTTTAAGGGTTGTTCGAGGGTTGAATTAGGTAAAACATGTAAAGCACGCAAAACAGTGTCTTGCAGGTGGCACTCATTAAGCATTAGCACTTGCTGTGTTTATTACACAATATGAGATTCTTGGGATATTTATTTGAGTACAAGATAAGTCCAAGCTCCTGATGGCCGGAACTCTGCATGTTTCTGTGCCCACCCCCACCAAGCTTCTAGCTCAGCCTCTGATTTCCTGTAACTAGGCCATAAATAATGGACCGGTGATGGTGGCTCGGGGTGGTAATTAGTGGAAATCTGGAGACAGAGAGAGGTACCATTTATCTAGAATCACAGGGTAGACTGTGTATTGACCAAGTATCACAGAACCCAACCGTGGGCCGTTCATTAATCATGCACCCGCAGGAACCTGGCAGCGACCGTGAGTGATCGGTGATTTCATTTGTTCTATTTCTGGCCCAACCACCCAAACCCTGGGGTGTTCCCAGCTCTGCTTCGGAGGCAGCAGTTCATCTCAAAATTTAATTGGAACCTCGGGACTCCTCAGATGAACAGCAACCGGAAGTCTCCCTCCATCCACCTGAACAGTAACCGGAAGTCTTCTTCCATCCCCGAGGCAGAGTCAGTGACATCAAGTAAAGCATCCCGTAAATCGAATCTTTCTTTCTGGGCACCACACATGAGGGACACCAGCTTTCCAGGGGAGGCCTCATCCGATATACCCCATCTTCTCTTCCTAAAGTCCTTCAAACCAAGTCCCATGAGGAAAATGTTTTCAGTGCCAGCACCTCTGATCGTCCCTGACAACATACCTCGTGTCCCCTTTCCCCTACTCTAGCCACTGCTAGCAGCAAGGAGATGCCCTCTGAGTCCTGGGGTCTCCCTGGGGAGCGCACTTCCACCCGCAGCACCGTGGCTCACCCTGGGTACAGAAGGTCATTTGTAATCATGACAGTAGGGGAAGAGCTGGAGCTCAGTCAACACTTGATTTAGGTGATTGGGAGCCAAGGTGCACTCTAAGGTGACAAGGACTCTGAGGTGACCCATCCAGTGTCTGAAATCTTGTGCTTAAACTCCGTCACCTGAACACTAGAAATGGCTCCTTCTGAGGTTGTGTACATGAAAGGGTAGTAACTGGGAGAACTACAACACATTCCTTGTTATTTCACTGCTGCCCAAAAGTAGCTTTCAAAGAAGGAGCTGATGAAAGACAGAAACATTTGTGCAAATAGCTCATAGACCTTTCTTTATTATTGCTTGCTTGTTTCTTCATTAGCAGACCCAACTTTAACTGCATTAACATTCTAGACAACAATATTGACTATGGTCAGAACTGGGTGTGGACTTGGTTTTGAGGGAATAGTGTGGACAGGAAGGCCAGGTGTCCCGTGATTCACTTTCTGGTGGGACTGGTCACCAGTTCCTTAAGGATCTTCCTGAAAATGCCAGACGATGGATCAGTAACTGCTAGCTGGGATTACCCACTCAATGGTAAAGGGACTCGCTTATTCAAATAATGCTTTGTTTGAAAATTTCCTATTTGAATATCGTATAGATCTGTAAACAGGACTGCATATCCATGGAAAGAAGCTGCCAGGGGAGCCCTTTGAATGATTTTAAAGCCAAGCCTAAAAAATGAGCACTCGGTAGTGGAGGAGACGGTGAAGAAGTGGGGCCAGAGAGGCTTTTTTGTTTTTCTCCAAAGAACCACTGGAAGCCCTGGAAGGTTTAAGCAGCGTGTCTTAGTTCTGCCTGCTGTAATGAAACGTCACAGACTGAGTGACTCTCAGGCAGTAGAAATGTATTTCTCACACCTCTAAAAGCTGGAAGTAATAGATAGGTGTACTGGAGTCTGGAGAGAGCCTGGGTCACAGCAGGGTCCTTGTCCTTGTGTCCTCACAGGGAATAATGAGAGTTAGAGAGCTCTCTGGGTCTCCTTCATAGGGGACACTAATCCTATTCTTAAGGGCGCCATCCCATGACTTAATCAATTCCCCCAATGCCATCCTTCTAATGCCATCATGTTGGGGGTTAGTTTGCAGTAAGTGAATTTGAGGGGGCATTGCACAGTCTCTGGCAGGGCAATGTAATCTCTATAACTGCTCTGGGTGTGGTTTTCTGAAATTTACCCTGCCAACCTCTCAAGGTCATAGATCCAAACTCACACATGTAAGCAGATGCTCTCTCAAACTACAGATCACAGTGAAACCCTTGCTATCTGTGGACTAAGGAAGAGGCATAGATGAATGTGTGGCCTCTTCTGTCAATCACTCCAGTCACTGCAATGGGAATTTCTTGAGATCCAGATGTCCATCGAGTGCCTACATAGTCCCAAGAAATTGCTTTCTTCATTAAACAGCCACCCGCATCCCCGATAAGTGCTCACCCAAAGGCTTCTGAGCAGATAATTGTCTGTGTCAACATAGTGCTGAAGAATACTGCGTGCTTACTCTGGGTTCCACCTCACAATCCTTGACGGAGCCTGCTGGTATCTAGTGTTAATCCAGAATATTCTCAGAGAAGTGTGGGGCATGGCCCTGGAATCCCAGCACTCCAGGAGACAGAGGCAGGAGGATCACTAGTTGGAGTCCCATCTGGGGAACATAGCAAGACCTTGCCTTAAAATGAAAAAAAAAAATGCCAAATGTACCTCTGTGGGCAGACCCTGAGTACACACACACACACATACACATACACCATGATCTTATCGTCCATGAATTGTCTGGGCAATCTGTCTGCATCTGGCTAATGGAGACAGGGAGGACTAAGGGAACCCTTGAAACTATTCTTTTATAGATAATTAGAAGCTTATATTTGAGATTGTGTCCTCCTTTTGCTAAAACAAACCTCTAGATACAGAAGCTTTGAATGGGGCAGGTAGATTCTGGAGTGAAATGCTTCCTGAAACAAGAGTTATCTTCATGTGAGTATGGAGTTGAAGAGGGGAGGAAGCTGTTTAATGTTCCGTGAAGGACACCATTAACAAAACAGGAAAGAAATTCTATCTTAGCCCCTCCAAATTGCTCACCTGCTCAGAAAATATTCACTTAGCATCTATTGCATTCTGGGAATTATACTGAGTGCCCCTGCCATGGAAAGACAACATTCCACACTGTATTGAAACTCACAGTCAGGTGAGGAAGCAAGAATAACTGAAAGGACCTGAAGTGAACTCTTCAGAGGAGACAGCCAACGAGCAGTGGGTACCATGGGAGTTGCCAGGAAGGGTGACTTCAGCCTGGAGTCATAGGGCAGTGCTTCCCGAGAGAGAAAGAGCAGCTTTTCATCAGCCAGTGGAGGCAGCAGGAAGAGCGGGCGAGGGCCCAGGTGAGCAGTGTCAGGGGGACTCAGAGAGGCCCGACCAGCCCTCAGGGCCAGCTGCAGGGCGAGGACCAGGACCTGTCCCTGGACTCTGTGGAGGCAGGAAGCCACCGGTGTGCCTGGAGTGTGAGCAATTTGGTGGCATGTGAAGGGACCGGTTTTGATGATGGAAATGGAGCTGGAGAAGCAGGAGCAGCTCTGGCAGTCGTCACCCAACAGTCACCACTGAGCCTCAACCTCCTCCAAGAGAAGGTGTAGGTCCTGGCACCAGCCTCTGGAACTCTAGTGAAGTTGTTCCATGCCTCTGAGTTTTGTAGTTTGTCAGGTGGATAATCTAGTTACCTAGTGACTCTCTGCTTGCCTCTCTGGGACTCTAGGGGAACCAGATAATGCACGCATGGTACCCCATAGATTGGCGCAATTTGATGTTAAAATATTAAAAATGCCAGAGCTTAACAGGCAGATATACAACAAGAAGCATCTCTGACAAGCACCAACATAAAGCTTTTACATTTTTTTAAGTTTCTACATATTTTTGTGGGCACTGGATATTTACTGTTCTCTCAAAAAATGATCATGTCATTTTTGAGTGCTGGCAATTTGCAAAATGCTGCACAATTTCCCATGTGTTTACCTCCCTCCCATGTGCTCCATTCATATTCCCTTTGCACTAGGAAGAGGACAGGTTCCGGGTGGAATGCAAGGTCACCAGCCAGTGGACAGATGTGAGCCCAAAGGGTCTAATTCCAGGGTCTCAGCTCTTTACCAGTGCTCCTGCCTACAAAAAACAGGAGGATTTTCTAAGGCTAGAAGTCAGTTTTGTCACGAGAGCTGTTGTATATTCACCAGGTCTTCAGAGCAGTCAAGAGTTAAATGTAATGAAGCTTAGCTTCTCTCCTTAGACCAAATTGGCCATAGTTGCAAATACTTATTAGCAAGTGGTCCCCAGACAGCCATGCAGCGTGGACTCAGACCTTCATGAAATCACAGCTTTTGTCAGTTTGGGGAGGTCCTGAACACAGCGCGCGCAACAGGTCAATCAGAACCCCGCATGGTCCTATTCAGTAACAGAATGCAGCACAGCAGACCCTCGAGTTACAACAGGTCTGCCATACGGATAACTTGAGTTATGACCAGAATTTTGGTTTTAACTTATGACCAAAGTCTTGAGTTACAACCAGAATGCCAGCCACTTGTGCTTCCGGGTGGTCTCAGGTACAGACTTAACCCTTAAATTGTTTTGGAAGGAAAGTGACAAGTCTTTTCCTGTGTGGGGTTCCCTGAGAAAACCTGGGCCCACATCTCTCTGAAGACGCTGAGATCTGACTGTGTGCAGAGGAGAGACTCTGAAGGCTGTGTACAGGAGCCTGAGCCTTCAGTTGACCAGCGTGGGTTGCAACCAGCCCTCAGGAATAAATTGCGTTTGTAAGTCAAGGGTCCACTGTATAGTGCTTCCACCACACAAACAAGCATCCCTTTGGTTTTAGTTTTTATTAGTCCACATTTGCAGCGAGTGATTGCATCCCTCGTGGGGAGTTGGTACATGCACATAGATACCTTAACTCCTTTTCCTTCCCCTCCGCCATCTTTTGGTGCCTTTCTCTCTCGCCAAAGTTCTCAGCCCTGTTGCCTATTATCTTTTATTTTGCTCATTAATTTATTTATACTCAGGGTTTCTCATATAAGAGAAGCCCTGCGATGTTGAAGCTTGTGTGTCTGAACAGTATGGTGCCTCCATTTTCCTACGTCTGACTCACATTGGTCCTCTACAGCAGAGTGTTTTTGTAACCAGAGGTAGAATACAAGGTGCAAAACTCAAATCTAGGGCATCAGTTCAAAAGTGAAGAGGGAATAAACATGGCTATACTCTGTATTCAGACAAAGTTGTAAAGAAAATCTTAGTTTAACATCATTTAATGAGACAAACACCAAGAAATAAGATTTTATTGGGCTTGGAAGGCCACAAAGCCTTAGTAATTATGTCAAACGGTTCTTCACCCCCAATCCCTAAGGACCAATCACTGCTCACCCACAGATGCTCTGGCCAGACATGAGCCATGCACACCCACAATTTGACCAGCAAGAGTCCATGAACCTCCACGACGCTAAGTGGCCAGGCTTCTAGTCTTGCAGGTCTGATTGCGGCCATGTCTGCTGAAATGCCAGTGTTCACCCAAGAACCTCAGTTACATCCAAGGACTTGTTGAGCTTAGGTCCATCTGACCATGGTGTCCAAAAAGTCACTGTGCCTGCGCTGAAGACTTTCAAAATGAGTCCCAGACTCCAGGAGAATGCAGAGCGAGTGAGTGGGCAGGAAGATGAGTGTGCTGGGGAGGAGAGAGAGGCAGCGGCTGGCGCTGGAGGAGAACAAAGGACGCAGGAATAAGAAGCAATCTGACTTCTGTCCCGGCACTTCCTCCTCAGGCATGTGAAGTGGCCTGTGAAGGTTCCAGTTTCTGTGGGCGCCACACGGCACGGGTTGAGATCCGGAATCTGAGCACCATGCAACCTGAGAACGGCCAAGGTCACCGTCCGGCTTTTCGTAGGAAGGACGTTAGCTGTGCTTTGATTTCTTCTCTCAAAAGATGCATTGCTCCTGCCCGCCAGAAAGAGTTCCAGGAAAGGCCAAGGCACCCTTGAACTTCCAGGGCAGAGCGGTTCGTACGGTGGCACCGGGGATGTGGCGAGAGTGCTTTCTGGGCAAGAGAAAGCCTCACCGCCGGAGTTTTCAAATCCGTCAACACCGTGGGTCATCTGCCCAGAAAAGCGTACTTGGGCTCATGCAAACCCCGCTTTCCACCCCAGAAGGTTCGCAACTGCAGCTCCAGTGGCGAGACCCATTTGGTAGAAGGAAACTTTTTGATGCTCGGTGTTACAGATGCTTGTACCTGGGTTAAGGGTGATATTGTTACATCGCCACCTACCGTATTTCAACATTTATCTTCCTAGGATCAGAATGCTGGAGGTTCGGGGTTGTATAAGTGAAAGTTACTTTCTTCTCACCAGTGAGCACATCGCTTTTGCTGGGCAAGTCTGTAAAAGGGCTCACCCTTGAGAGAGTGCGCTCCCGGGACAGCTCAGCTTGCCGGGCAGCTGACTTTGCTTGGCAGGTGTAGGAGGTGTGATTGAGTCATTCCAGAATCTCAAAGGGGTATTTGTTAGAGGGAGTAGCACACAGTGACTGATCCGGAGTGCCTGGGTTCCAAACAACCTGGTACTTACCACGGTTCCCCTTTGAAGGGAGCTCTGCCCTCCTGGGTGGCGGTTAGGTGCAGAGAGATGAAAGGAAGGCAAAAGCAGAAGACGCTCCACTAGCAAGTGCAGTGGGAAGCATGAAAGAGGGGGTTTTGTAACCTTTTATTCTTTTAAACAAATGTAAGATAAGACTCGGTTATCACAGGAGGAAGATCTGGCAGGCACTCGAGATCTTTAGAGGCTAAAAATAAGGAAGCCGAGTGGTCAGCAGCTGAAGCTTCAAGCTACACTGCTTGTCTCTGAATCTGGCTGTGTCATTTCATTCCCCTGTGCCTCAGTTTCTCTAACCAGAAATGGAAAAGTTAATAACAGTATCTGCTTCTTAAGACTGTTGTGTTAATGAGAAAATACATGCAAGGCACTTAAAAGAATGCCTGACAGGCCATAGGCTCTCTGCAAACTGGCTCTTATCTACAGTAAAGTTCACCACTGAATTAGTTTCGAATGATTGGACCTTGTGCTGTGTTATGTGGTTGTCAGGGTCATATAATTTTAAAGAAGTTTTCTGCTACAGTTAGTACCTATTTCATGTACAAGTTAGATATGCAAAACCCAAACTCTCCCAGAAACCCTGGAAGGTAAGTCAGCTAGTACATAAGTATTCCCAAGTGTCTGGGAAGCATTCAGCCCTGTGCTAGGACCTGTGCAGTCTACCACACCGGTGGGTGTCCGTGTGTCTTCTGTCTGTCTGTCTTGTCTCGTCATCAGAGCTTGCTGTCCTGTTAATGCACCTTACAAAATGTTTCAAAATACCGTAGCACTGGCAGTCAGAAGGCATAATGCTGTAAGTATGGTAAAAAGTCACTGGAAGTTCAGAGACTCGCTTGAGTGCATTGCAGTGAGGTGGGAACCCATCTACAAAGACTTCTTGAAAGAACAGAACTCTGAAAAATGAGCAAGTCTGTGCAAGGCACATATGAGGAGGAAAAGGAATTCGAGGCATGAGAGAAAGCAATTGAAGGCTCAGGGTTGGAGGACATGGGATGGATGAGTTCTCAGACTGGTAGAAAAGCAGGTGCTGCAGAGCAGGTCGTTCCAGCAGAGGAGGTGCCTGAAGCAGAGAGAAAACCCAGTCACTGGTGCTGAGGCCTTCAGAGAGGGAAGGGGCTGCAGGCAATGTGTGCAAGGCTTTGAATGCTAAGTGCAGGTGGGCAGCAGCGCCTAAAAACGTGCTTGAGCACAGTCAGACCCAAGCCGAAGGAATCACCGGTGTACTATTTATTTCTTTGAAAAGCATCGTCTCTCGGTTTATTTTATTCTATCCCGAGGAGGAAGCTGTGCAGTACAGAGGACAGCCAGTACGAGCCTCACCTGTAGCTGTGTCATCCCCACGGCTCTCAGAATAACAATCTAGAAACTTTCCTGTTCCTGACAGAAAGGGATTAGGAAGAGGCCCAGGCAGTGGGGGTCAGCAGGGGCTCCTGCCACTTGGAAGAAAAACACTGGTTTGGAAACTGACTCTGCTCTGGTTCCAAACTCTGACAACAGTCTAAATAAGAAATCATGTCCTTATTCATAAATATACCTATATTGTCATCATCACTTCGAAGACACACTCTCGATTTATAACGTAAGCCATAAGGCAAAATCTAACATTTGCACAGTGCTTTTTGAGTTCACAAATCGCCCTTTGATCTTTTCATCTTTAGCCTTCCTCATACATTAAGGTTGAGCAAGTTCGGGAGGTTCAAATATGATTGATATCCCCATCACAGAGCCCAGGAAGTGAAGACTCAGAGAGGCCAGTGACCAGTCCAAGGCGGTGGCGCAATTTTGAAGATATGGACCCACAATGAAAGCAAGAGCAAACTCCAGATTCCTTGAAAACTTCCATGGCCCATCCTACTCTGATGGCTGTTGAACTTCATTGAAACCTTTATCCCCCATTTGAAAGTAAACTGGCAATGACTCATGGGCTACAGGGTAGATTTATGTGAAGCCTGTGGAAGGGGGCCAAGAGGGAAGACTCCCAGCGGCAGATCTGACTCAGAGCTGGCCCTCTGCAGGAGCAGACACTGGTGAACAGCAGGGGGGACTCGGCCACACCGACTTGGCTGTGACACATGTTGGACTTTGTGGATTTCTTGGCCTGCCTTCGACTCTCCCATCTTCCACTTTTCACTCCCAGGCCAGAGGAGAAGCGAGCCTGACCCTGCAGCCCTACCTGGTCTGGCTGCCCCCCTGTACACACACACATCTGCGTCACGGCGGTGTTGGCTGTGGTGCCAGGGTGGCTGGACTTGCGACTGTCCTTGAGCAGCTATTATTTCTTCCTAATAGTTTTTTGACCTTTGAAACCAAGAGAAGGTTATTTTTGCTTAGAGAGGCCTCAAGATTTCAATGGGAGTTTGGGCTTTGGGTGTTTGTAATGTCCTACTCAGTTCCTTGGAATGAAAAGAGTCCGAGCTGTTTTCCAAGAGATGTTTTGCAAGTTGGCTTGTCAGCTAGTGGGCCTTCACTTCAGCTGCAGCTCTCCAAGCCCTGCTAGTCTAAAAAAGGCAGGGAAACAAGACATCCCCTGTTCTTTTGCATTACCTAAGAGCCCATACTTGAACAAGACAGGGGTGGGTGCAGATTGTGGCACTCATACAGGAATATTGAGAAAGAGTTGCTGTCTCCAGCCTTGTAATGTCAATGTTTGAGTTTAATCTGCTTGGGCGCCACAGCCAACTCCCAGTGAGAGAAGTCACTGCCTTGGAAGGGGGTGGGGGAAGCCCGTGCTGAGCACCAGTCTGTGCATCCAAGAGGGTATCCTTGTGTACACCAGGGAGCAGTGATGTGCTCCTCAAATGGTACTTCCGGTTCACACCCAGATGTTTAGCTGAGCGAATGGACTGTGTTCATCACGAAGGCCGCAATGAAAACAATCCCTTTACCTGGAGGGTCTTTTACCCAACACATTCGTCTTTTAAAAACAGTTTTATTGAGGTATAATTAATGTACAGAGAACTGCAAATATCCAGGGCATACAACTTGATAAGTTTTGATCTATGCAAAACCTTGAGATACCACGGCCCCAACCAAGACAATAAGCATATCCAGCACCTCCCAAAGTTTCTCATTTCCCTTTGTTTCTGTAGCAGGAACATATGACAAACATATGATAAACTATCTTTTTACCAAATTATGAACTTACTTGAATGTGCAATTTTGACAATTATGCTACTATGTTAATGGATCCACAGAGCTCACCCATTGAGTATAACCAAAACTTCCTGTCAGTTGACCTACTTCCTACTTTTCCACCTGTTGGCCACTGGAAACACTACTGCATTTTCTACTTCTATGAATTTGACCACTATCAGTTCTTCATATAAGCGGGATCAGCAGTAGCAGTATTGGATCTTCTGTGATTGGTTTACCCCTTTCATTTTTTCACGCAGTCAACAAATGCAAGAATCTTCTATTTGACCAGTATTGGGTGAGAATATGTCAGAGTTCACATACTCAAGGAATTAATTATTCAGTGGGGAGACAGATCAGTTACAGGAGGAAACAAGGTATAAAACACAAACGCAGAGTACCAAAAGGAGATAGTATGCCCAGGGACACCAAGTCAAGTCAAGCTTACACAACAAACAGGAAATCTACTGAACTCCAGCCCAAGAGTTTCTGAATAAAATGATGGAGATAATCGAAACTACCATTTATAGAACATTCTTTAAAGTCAGGGTCTTTGACATATATCACCAAGGAACAGGAAACTGAGATTCATAAACTTGCCCAAGTTTACAGAACAAATAAATGTCAGAGCTGGGACTGGGTACTGTGCCACTAACGTTCCTGCATACTAAGGTCAGCTCTTGATTAATGTGTCAATTCTTTATGGCTTCCCACTCCTCCCCTATCTTTAATTCCAATGTCATTCATTAATCAACTCAAGGAGCACCCTTT